CAACTAGTGTTCAAAGCGCGCGGTCTCAAACAACCGAGTACAAAAGTAGTGTAAACGGTTGTGCGCGGTGAGGCACTGCAGCAAACGACTCAAAGCGCATGTCGTTGCCACTAGTGTAAACGGGCCTTAACTCGCGGCCGCATGCTCAGCAGCGCCACGCATCGCTTAATTTCCTCCCATGTTCACCAGAGCGACTGGGTATCCATTGGAAATGAGCTGCTCTCACTGGTATTTTGGCAAGGTAGTTGTGAATGGAGGTTACGATGTGCGCGTGACTGGAAGTTAGTCGCGAAATTAGCTGCAGATATGACATACTGTCGGGGCTGATTAGGGGCTAGGATAGAAAGGTTAGCAGCGCGGTAGACCATTGCTTGGTATTATTCAGGTATTATCTGGATGCTGTATAAGAAACGGGGATACTACTCAGAGGTTTTTCTTTTAACGCTCCCCGTTTTGGGCCCGATACATATTTTTCACGAACATGGTGTGATGACTGCATTTCTTCAAACCAAACAAGTTATACATGGTAAGATTATAAGAGCCCAGAATAGTTTTGATCGCCAAATGGCCACAAAAATTATTTAATTGGTGTATTGTATGTTTTAATGATAGCCAAGGAAATGAGAGGAGTGAGAACTTAAATTACATTGATGGCATGCCCTCTTATATTATCATTCTACATCATTATTCCATTGCATTTTGCTATTATGGCTAATTGTTTTGTTTACCAAAGACGTACGCATTATACGCTGTAAGCGGTGCAGTACATAAAACTTTAAACAGACATTCTTTTGCATGCCGCTTTTTAGCTTCCCTCGGTGAAGCCGTATTTAAATGCCATGAGGCGCTTTCATTGCTTTCAGTTCTGCCACGCTCTGTGCTAAACAACTGAACCTAGTGCCTGGCTACATCTCTATGCGTACTTTGCCGGCATTTTCAGGGTTTGGATGGGTTTGGATAGGAAAATCTTGTCGGGACTGCATAATGCCGTAATATAATTTTTTTTCTATATATTACCTTTCGTGACCTCGGACGAATCAGGAGCGCCTACAAATCCTCAATTTCGAAACCTGAACTTATAGTCTGTGCGACTGTGCCAATGAAACCGATGATCTCCCATCAAAATTCCTGTCGCGTCCCCAGCACGTCACACTACCAAGCACCGAATTGGAAGCATCGGAGGAGAACAGTTTAAATTCTTTTAACTCATCCAGACATAATAGTAACGTAAATATTTCACTATCCGTTTTACATCGAATGAACTAGTATTAATTTCGGGCTTCCCGAAATAGAGCCCTAAAAATAATTGCTCCGCTGTTGGCGCTACAAGCTACCCACTAATTATTTTTCACTGAAAAGGAGTAAGAAAGAAACGCACAACGGGATCTAAAGCCGCCGCCAGAATATTTGCGGTAATTTTACTACGGTTTATTAATTAAATAACCCACGCATCAGCTTGATTGCAATATATAAATTAAATGCATTTATGTTGGATAAAATTAAGGTGTATTACCTTCCTGAACTTGACGAGGTCCTTCATGAATGGAGGTCAGGAACAAGACCCGAAGTTGAGGACAAGAGGACGACCTTTTGAGGCGGCGTCCAACATTCGGCACGTCGTCTCATCATCCTCTCTCACCACCACAGGGTTAGGGGCGGATCCACCAACTTTGGTCTTACGGCGGTATTCCAGTAATGCCCTGTTTGAACTCCATGATTAGTTCTAGAAATTGATTTTAGGTATAAAGAAACCGTTTTAAAGATCGAGGACTAAATTTGACTCGTTTCTTTGCCAAGTTTACTTTCATAATGCGATTTTTATTTATTGTTTGCAAGCTTAAACATAGAGAAAGTCAAAAGAATGGCCATAGACAATAAAATTTACATGCGTAACCCCAGGTTCTGCCTGAAGAAGAAGTAAGACAGGTTGAACACGTTCTTCGAGTGGTCGGACGCATAGGGGGCGAGGGCGAGAGCAGACCGGTACAAGTTGTAAGCTATCCACCCACAGCCATCCCATGCGAGCTTCAGCGCTCGCCAGGCTGCTTCCATCTCGTCAGGAGTTGAGCGGCTGACGGCAGCAGAAAGCAGTTAAAGTCGTACTATCAATTGACAATTGGCTAATCCTGTCTCGAAATAATTTTAGGGAAGTAATATGACATAAGTGTTGTAAGCAGTAGTTACGTGGTTACGCGTGGCGTCTCTTATCTCACGTTGTTTGATTGCGTGCATGTAAAGAAGCTGCTCCTGTCCGCTGACACTTTATGACCTGACATACTTTGCTCGTGGTTTCTTCCTGAAACTAACCCACCCAAATAAAAATTAAGGATGACGCATCGATGATTAGCATTCACTTTCTAAGAATTTTAACAGAAATGATATTTACGAGAAATTCAAATAAAAATAATCGTCATAATAAATATTTACTGTCCGCATGCCCAGCCTCTGGAAAGAAGTAAATCAACCAGGTAAACTTTTAACCAGGATCATGGACGCGACGACCTGCTTGGTATGGAGCCGTGGACCATAAATTTAACATCACTACTAGAAACTTACATATTCTTTAGTACATTGTGATTGACGATAATTAATTGAGCAATATCGAAGAGTCAGTTGAAATATTCACTGCTGAAATGGAGTGTACGTACCTCCTTACGATTATAGGGAGACACTTGCTTCCCTGAGTTTCAGTGCAGAGAACTTTTTGTCTCACTCCTACCACGCCCACCTCATACCGTCAACTAAGTTCTCAGAGAAGAGTCAGAAGACAGAAGATGCTCGCCACTTTCAAGGCCATTTATTCAACTATATTTGGACAGCGCTAACGCTCTTCATTAATCTAGTCATGCACATTATTATTTTTAATTGTAACAAAAATTCGTAATTTGAAGTGGAATTTGCAACCCCAATTGGATCTTGTCAAGAGTAAGCACCCCAGACATTACTAAGGTGCGTATTTTTGACAAGGTTAATGGGATGTATAATACAAACAAATTACGACTATTTGAACATTTTTTTAAATAAATGTACTTCAACGTAAAAAAATTACATTGCAAAACATTAAATCGCAAATGATAAGGCTGCATATGATATTCAGAAGGCGAGGAACAATTTATTGAAATACGTTATAATCCATGAAAGGGAGGATTAAACTCACTCATTAACAAAGTTATTATACAAAGGCTTATGCTAGGGTGCGTTTTATTAACAAGGTATACTAGGGAACATTTTCTTAACAAGGTCATATTTGGGTGCTAATTATTAACAAGATCCCTCAGATCTATCGAATTTTTAATTTTTTTCTTATCAAATACCACATTTGAAGCGCTCTTAACAGGGCGAGTATGAATTTTACACACATATTAGTAGGTAGATTTGTGGTGCTAATAGACAAGAAAATTTAGATCATGTGCACTCAAAAGAAAAAAAAAAACGACACGTGTAGCCTTGAAGAAGTGTTTAGTAACTGAAAGGCGTGTGGTGTTGAAACTAATAGATTCTTGCTGAAAGGGTATGAGTAGCTAAGTAACAATTGGCGTCGCAACGAGCAGATTGTGTATCGTTACGCTAGATGCTTACTTCATACTTCGAGCGCTTCTTATGAATTTGAATTGTATTCTTAGTTTAATAATAATTCCAAATTTGCAACTTAATACTGTTCCTTGATTTGTTATTCCCGAAATTTCAATTTGCTGCAGTCATATTACGCAGTTGATTTTGCGTAAAGTAGTCTGTGACTCCTTAGATGTTACGGAATTTGGTTCCCAACAAAGTGATGGGTCACTATTGATCACCTATAGTATAATTATGGTTAACTTCGTTACGGTCAACAAGATGTTGACGCTGGTCTAGCATATTAGTACCTATTGACGTCTGTATTACTCTGAGTTACGCTGGAATGTAATGGTATTACGTCGTATAGACCCCCAATTATAAATATTAGTTATTTATAGAATGGAAATGTCGGCACTGAAGAAATAGGCCCATGGCCTGTTGCCGATTCATGTACTCTTCGTGACTTGATTCCATAAGAGATCCGGCCCATTGAACCCTATCTTTCCATAACTGACGATTGTTTGAGATTGATGCTGGACTCATAACCAGTTCCGTGAGGTGCTAGGAATTTCAAGACTGAACATATGCTCCTCCATAGCTTTGTCTAGTCTGTTCTTGAAGGCGTTCATATTCGGAGCGTCAACGATGCCAAATAAGGGAGGCTGTTCCACATGTCGGTGACTCGAAGCGAGAAGAAATGTTGTCGCATGGATGAGTTACAACGCAGTTTTTTTAGTTTATAGCTGTGGCCCCTGGTGTTGGTTCTTATTTCAAATTCTAGTAATCCCTCTGGGACCTTGTAATTACAAATCCCTCTGGGACCCGTGGGTATACTTGTATACTTCATTGAGGTCACCACGCAGACGTCGATAACAGAGGCTTGGAAGCTTCATAGTCTTTAATCTTTCTTCATTTTTTATGGAAATTTATAAAGAAAAAAATGATCAGGAATTTTTATAAATAATTATTTCGATTATTTATTCAAAACAAATTGTTTGATTTATAATTATTAGGTTCATATTTTGAAGAATGTGTACTCTGGAGTTTTAATGGTGTTCTGCACCCATATGGCGTTTGGGCTCGCGACATTTAAAATTTGGAAAAGGCAGAGAGCATCGATAGAGACGACAGAAGAGTGATGAAAAAGCGTCGTAGAACAGACTCAAGGCGTAAATTTATATGTATAAAAATGGGTGACGGGACTTAAGGCCCTGTGTAATATTGCATCAAATTTGGTGAACAAAGAAGTCTGTGCTATGAACGGGGAATGGGACCCGAATGTCTGCAGTGGAACATGACCCGCTGCCAAAGATTGGGTCTCCCTTGTTTTAATGGATTTGAACAATTGTGCAGAAACAATAGAGGAGCAATTAGATTTAAGATTTACTGCTGATCACCACGGGTATTCGAGGAGAAGTTTTGAGAGAGCAAAGGTTCTTTTGCAAGTCCTGCTTTTCTTCACATTTGGCTTCTCTAGTGAAAATATAAGGTCTGTTAATTATCAAATGTTGATCAATTTTCATATCTCCAATTCACACAACTTGATAACCTTCTCCATGACCTCCAGCCGTGCTGGATATTCGGATTTTCTCGCCAACGCAATGTACAGTAGACTTTCTATTGTAGCCAGTACGAGTTGGAGGTTTCCCGCTACAGCATTCATGAACAAATGTTCACCTAAAATCAATTACAGGCAGCGAATAAACGAATTTTTTCGCAACTATTAGTATCTATGAAAGTGTACAACCTTAAATAGCGATACAGTATTCATCTCGCTACTCTAGAAAATTCTCCCTATGATAGCTAATTCTCCGAAAACATGGATTTCTGTTTTGGGATTTGGTGAGAACACCTTTATTATTATTACACAGAAAATATTAACATAAGTTTTCAATTCGGTAAACGCTTCGTGACTTCCAAGAGAAGACGAATTTGCTCGTTACATGTTTTGCTTCGATTTCATGTTCCGAATGACAGTGCATGAAAGGCAACACTGCTAACTGATGAAAATTTTATCTCGCTTGTTAATTCAGAAGTCACGGGGTGAAAACATAATAAACTGACAGTAGGTACTTCGCATCGTCACAAGTGGGCTCCAGAGGTCGGGGTTGTGTTAAAAAGTCGGCGTCAATATTTTTATTATGCAAAAAAGTAATAGTAAAGTATTATTAAGTTATACTTTAATTAAAAAAGTAAGGTATTATGAATACCTGCACTGTCCAACATTATCATACTGCATATATAAGAAATCGGTTTAAATCATGAGTAGACGAGGAAATTAAAAATGAAATGATTCTAAAAAATCTGTGGTTCGTGGAATGTAAAAAATCTGTGGTTGCAATGTTGCAGGTTGCCTGGAATGCTAATAATATTAGCCGCACCTGCATTTAAATATCTTCTGATTTTGTTATAATAAAATCTCAATACTACGACGAATAGTTTGTCCCTAGACTTAAACTCGTGAAGAATTTCACGCCAATGAGCTTAGTATTCCAGGCTCCAGCCCGCTGAGTCCAATAAGTGAGTAGCTGGACTCTGGAGTCTGGCTGGATAAGGAATTATGTGTATGGCTCTGTTACTATGAGTTACTACATATGATATTAGTAATATCATATATGATATATGTCAACTGTTCATGTCTAGCATGCCATAAAAACGCTGTCCTAAAAATTTCATATTCAGGTAATCTAGTCAATGAAATCTTTTTCTCGTGGCTCCTAATTCTACATCTATATTTTTTGTGGTATATGAACAAATGAAGTTATTTTTTTTATTTGAAGGCTTCGGCTATGCAGGTAGCACACCTTCAAAGCTGAGCAGTGAGCACAACGGATATTTTGGACACTTCGTCACTTTTAGATTACTTCACTTTTGGATCACTTTACGTTTAGTTTTAGTACCTTCACCAGCCGATGTAACTGGAGATTTTGATGAGGAAAAATATAATTGGGCCTTGAAGAACAATCAAAACCAGTCCACCGAATTGCAACTGAGAAAAAATTTAAGTTACCGAAGCGTTTTTTTTTTGCAGCCTACTTTTCGTAAGTCTTTCAAACCCCAACTGATTGCGCTTCAGACGTTGGATTGACTCAAATAACTCAATAAGTTTATGGAAGCCGTTTAGAAACAAAAATTCAGTATCTGAGCGAATTTTAATGATAATTTGAATAACCTTGCTTGAAAATTCTAAATTAGTTATCGTGATATATAGTAGAATAGAATAATGTATGACGTTTCTATTTGAATCTCAATATAAACAAGTGCCGTAGTATATTACTAAGTCGCTGCATCAGATAGTAAAGCTCAAATTAACTTTTATTGCAAATGAATATCCATTGGAAGGGGGAAATCAGAAACATTTTGATCCACGATACTTTATTGCAGAAGTAATGCAATACCATAATTTTGGCGCTTACTAAATGAACAACAAACCGAGCAGTTAAGCAAAATTCATCCAAGAAGTTTATGTAGAGACGTTACCAAATATATGAACGGTGCGATTAAATGTCAGTCTTGGAATTTTGCATAAGCAATTTGGGATCCAAGTCTTCATCAGAGTTATATTATGACAACGTCTCTAATCACTTCTTAGCTTGTCAGCAAACGCCGCCTCAGTTAAATGAAAAGGCTCATTCGGAGTAAGAGAAACCATCAAAATATATGAGGAAATTATTTGATCATAATAATGATGCAATTTTTGTTACACAGTAGTATATTGATGCTTTTAGAAGTTTTGTGATCACCACGTACGCTAGGTCGTGGTGGACTGTAGGTGATCTAGAGTGATGTCTTCCAATTAGACAACCACGTTTCCAGTTCAGCCATCTGCGGACCGAATAAAACCAGAAGTATTAAATGGTTAATTAAAAACACTGGCTGACCAGAAAACCGTCACTCGCCTAATTACTAGATGCCTAACCACTAACCTTATAGCCAAATGGTCCTTGTGCACCGTGATAAACGATTTTGCCGTCAAGCACTACGAAAAGCCTCTCCGGCAGAGCGGTGTATTCCTCACAAGCTGCGCCGCTCTCGCTGTCCACCACCACGGGACAGTTGACGGGCTCGAGCTCCATCATGTAGCGCACCGCTGCCAGACGATCTTGCACACTCCTAGACAGAGGATTCGATTATTGACCAAAATCTAGTTCATACTCAGCGGGTTTCGAGCAATGATACAACTATTGTTGTTTTTTTTCCGGCACCTACATACGATAAAAATCAAAGGCGATGAAGGGATGAGTGCGGCCAATTTGTATGAAAATAATCAGATCACGTGATGAATTAGGACCCACTTGTGAGTAGGGATTTCGACAGTATTTGGGATGAGCCACCCATCTGTGGGATGCGCCTCTTGTATGTACACGATCAGGAAGTCCGCAACGTCACCGTACATAGTCACCACCTGCGCATCAACATTTTGTTATTATAGATGTCTAATTTGTACTGGAATTGTTTTTGTTATGAATACTCAGAGAAATGTATCGCCTCTGAGCACTCTTGGCTACATTTTTTCTCCTTATGAAGTCTCGGTGATAAGCGTTTTCTAACTCCAGGTGCTGTTGCAATAAAGCGATTAACAGCAGACTCCTAGATTCTTTTTCTAGTTTTTCTTAAGAGCGTCTGATCAGTACTTGCAGTTCGTTCTATTAACTTGCTTTTCATATGCTTAGAAAACCTAACTCCTTTTCCACATGAGCTTACAATTATTTTTCCAGTTGACTATTCGTGCACCACTCAAGCGTTGCACACATGTATTCAATATTTAAAGCTTGCCGTTCTTTATTGTTGTTAAATTGAAATGCGTGAGACTCGTCAGCATGAAAAGCTAGCTACTAAGTATCAGCCAAAGTAACTGAACTATCATTATTACAGTGCAGCTGCACTTTTTTCCGACGCATAATTCACAATTTTTTTTCATTTGGTCATCACACATGAAGCACAAGCTTGATACTGCTTCTGGTAGATCGCTTATAAACACATAATAACACGTAATGAGATCGGCCCGAGAACGCTTCGCCATGCGGCACGCCGCTGTGCACCTATCTCCAGTCCGACACTTCACTTGACACCGGCCCGCTGACGTCATCCTATTGTTGTTGTTGGTGATGGTTTCTTCGTTGATTCATCCCGTAAGCTGATGATGGCTCATTCCCAGGGTTAATAAAAAAATTTCTAGCGGATAGGAAGTGTCCACAGCCGCGATGCCTGTGGTGGGATTGCTAGGGCGCATGCAGAGCAGAATGTGCTAATCGGTCCCAGCTCGCGTGTACTGTCTTGCTTCATTTGGTGAAGAGTATTGTGGAAGAGCAGATGTATTCTTCCACAAGCGAGACCAGCTGAGAGGATCAGCAGTGTCTCCTCTAAGCAGCGTGACAGAGCTGTGTACTGTGAAGCTGTGGGTGTGTGAAGCTGTGTACTGTGTTTGTCACAGGGTAGAACGAGGATCTTCGTATTAGGTCAGTGGTGAAGTTGAGGTGTGCTGTTCCTGGAACCTGACAGTTAAGCATATCTCGACAGGTGTCAAGGCGTATTTGACAGTTAAGGCGTAGACCCTGGAACGGGTCTGACGTATCTCGTAAAGGGCTTTGCTAAACGAGGCTATATCGAGATGTAGGAGTGCAAAAAAGGGTCTCTAATGTTGCGTTGAGGGACCACAGTCGGACGGACAGCTTTCACCGTGCCCAAAGCAAACCATCCATGGATTGATGTCCATCAGGATTGAAATAATTGCAATGCTTCCTAACCCAGCGTTAACCTCAGCTTGGCTGTGTCAAAGTGGACGTCCACTAAGCAGCCTAACTCGCGGCCGCATGCTCGCAGCAGCACCACACATCGCTTAATTTCCTCCCCAGGTGCACCAAGCAACTGGGTATCCATTGGAAGCGAGTTGCTCCAACTGGTATTTGGGCAAGGTAGTTGTGAATGGAAGTAACGAGGTGCGCGTGACTGGAAGTTAGTCGTGGAACTAGCTGCAAAGATGACATACTGTCGGTGCTAATTAGGGCTAGGATAGAGCGGTTAGCAGCTCGGTAGACCATTGCTTGATATTATTCACGTATTATCTGGATGCTATATAAGAAATAATACAACTCCGAGGTTTTTCTTTTAACGCTCCCCGTTTTGGCCCCGATACCTTATTCACGAGAATGGTATGAGGACTGCATCTCTTCAAATTTAACAAACAATATATGGTTAGATTATAAGAGCCTAGATAATTTTTTTATCACTGAATGACCACAACAAATCATTTAATCTATTTATTGTATCTGTTTTAATGATAGGCAAGGAAATAGGATGATCGTACGACTTAAATTTCATTGATGGCATGCCATCTTATATAATCATTTTATTTCATTATTAAATTGTACTTCGCCATATTGGCTATTCGTTGGGTTACCAAAGCCGTACGTATTATACGCTGAAGCGAAGCGGTGCAGTACATTTCACTTCACACTTCAAAGCAAAATTTTTTGCATGCCACTCTTTAACTTCCCTCGATGAAAATGCCACAAGGCGATTTCATTGCTTGCAGTTCTACCACGCTAGTTGAACTAAACAAAGCAATGCTAAACCTAGTGCACGGCTATTTCTCGATGCATGCTTCGACATTTTCATGGTTTGGATCGGAAAATCTTGTTGGGACTGCATAATGCCACAATATACTTTTTTCTTCCCTGTAAATTGGTCTTCGTGACCTCGGACGGATCAGGAGCGCCTCTAAATCCTTCAGTTATAAACCTTAACTTATATATAGTCTGTGCCGATGTTACCAAGGATCTCTCGTCAAGATTCCTGTCTCGTCACCAGCACGTCACACTGCCCAGCACCGTATTGGAAGCATCGGGGCAGTAGAATTTAAACGCTCATCCCGCCATAATCTTATCGCAAATATTTAATTGTTCGTTTTACTTCGAACGAACTAGCGTTAATTTCGGGTATCCTTAAATAGAGCAAATTGAATTGGAGCCCTAGAAGTAACCGCTCCGCTGCTTGCGCTGCAAGCCACCCACTAACAATCTTTCACTGAAACGGAGTAAGAAAGAAACGCACTACAGGATCTAAAGTCACCGCAAGAATATATGCGGTAATTTTACTACGGTTTACTAATTACATAACCCACGCATCGGCTTGACTCCATTATATAAATTAAATTCATTTGGGTCGGGCAAAATTAAGGTGAAATACCTTCCTGAACTTGACGAGGTCCTCCATGAATGGAGGTCAGGAACAAGACCCGAAGTTGAGGACAAGAGGACGACCTTTTGAGGCGGCGTCTAACATTCGGCACGTCGTCTCGTCATCCTCTCTCACCACCACAGGGTTAGGGGCGGATCCACCAACTTGGGTCTTACGGCGGTATTCCATTAATGCCCTGTTAGGACTCAATGATTAGTTCTAGAAATTGATTTTACGTGTAAAAGTGTTATAAATATCGTTCAATAAATTTTTACGCAATTCTTTGCGAGGTTCACTTTCATAATGCCAGTTATATATATATTGTTTGTGAGCTCAAACACAAGAGAAAAAAAAAACAGAAGAATGGCCATAGAAAATGAAATTTACATGCGTAACATCTGCTTCTGCCTGAGGAAGAAGTAAGACAGATCGAAGGTGTTCTTCGAGTAGTCGGACGCAGAGGGGGCGAGGGTGAGAGCTGACTGGCACAAGTTGAAAGCTATCCATACAACGCCATCCCAGGCGAGCTTCAGCGCTCGCCAGGCTGCTTCCATCTCGTCAGGAGTTAAGCGGCTGACGGCAGCAGAAAGCTGTTACATGTCGTGCTATCACTTTGCTAATCCTGTCTCAAAAGAATGTTTGGGAAGTTATATGACAACTATTGACAAGTGTTGTAAACATTAGTTGCGTGGTTACGCGTGGCGTCTCTTATCTCCCGTTGTTTGATTGCGTGACTGTAAATAAGTTACTCCCGTCCGCTGACAGTTTATGATCAGCATTCACTATTCTTGAATTTTAATACAAATTATATATACGAGAAATTCAAGGAAAATCAATTTTCATCACAAATGTTTACTGCCGGAAGTTTTCTTGCCAAGCCTCGGTAAGGAAGTGGATTCAACCAGGTAAATTTTTAACCGGATCATATATGTACTAGTCTAGATGACCTGTTTGGTATCGAGCCGTGGACCATAAATGAAACATAACTACTGGAAACCTACTACTTCTTCTTTAATTTATTGTGACTGACAATTATTTGAGCAATGTCGAAGAATTGGTCGAAAAATCCACTTTTTGAAGAATTGGTCGAAATGTACCTCCTTGAGATAACAGGGATACTCACTTGCTTTCCCGAGATTGAGTGCTGAACTGTTTCTCGCTAACCTACCACGCCCACCTCAGACCGTCAACTAACGGAACTAAGTTCAACTCAGAGAATGAGAAAGTTGCTTGTCTCTTTGAAGGCCATTCGTCCCAGTTCCAACAACAGTTAAGCGCAAAATAATTATTAATTGTTGTCTTGAAGTGCATAAAAATGCATGATTTGAAAATCTATAGTGGAATTTCCAAAGCAAATCGCTGGAATTTTTAATGTTTTCTTATCAAATATTATATTTGAAGCATTTAACAGAGTGAGTATGACTTTTACACACATATTAGTAGGTAGATTTCTAGTGATAATAGACAAGATAATAACCATGTGCACTCAAAAGAAAAAAAATAACGATACATGTGGATATTAAGAAGTGCTCAGTAATTGAAAGGCGCCTGGTGTTGAAACCGATAGATTCTTGCAGAAAGAGTATGAATTGCTCACGAACAATTGGCGTCCCAACAAGCAGATTGTGAAACGTAAAGGCCAGTCCACACGCTTAGTTTACACAACGCAGTCTTTTGTCTGAGCATTGAGTCGCAGTCTACAGTCGGAATTAAATCGTAGCAATTTTTAGAGCGTCCAAACGTTGCCGACATAGGTATTTGTGTAGTTGCTCAGTTTTGTGGGATCTTACCATGGAGGAGGTACTTTGGTCAATTTTGGCATTGTGCCTTGTTAAAAAAAACATTGGAACGTCACAGAAGTAGCTGGCGTTCAAAGTGGTTGCAGAAGTGGACTTTTTTCACACTGCATTGCTGCGCGAATTACATGATGAACCTCGTGCACATACTTAAGGAATTGCTTAAGGATGGACGTATACACACGTACATATTTATTAGAATTAGTGACACCTCATATAATAAGATAAAATACAGTTATGAGAACAGCAATATCACCACACGAAAGATGAAAGCCCCGTCCACACACTCAAACTTATCGTCAGTCTTGCATGTTATGCCAAAGTTTGACAGAGAAGACGGAAGACTGACGAGCGTCCACACTATTCAAATTTTCCTTCAGTTTAGTGCGTTCTAGAGCCGGCAGCGGAGGAGGTTGTGTTGTTCGCTGCAGTGATCGCAGTTTGTACCACCAAAATTAGGTTAAAGCCATGTAAACGTACGCTGTGGTCCCGAAAATGGTTTAGAAAATACCACAATGCAGGTTGATAGACAGCCTCCCTACCAGCACCAGCCCGCATTGACGACTTCATTTAGGCACATTCTTTTCGATAAACCGTACGAAAAGTTTATTTTCTTCGTTACAAAGTCTTTGTTTGCTGTAGGATCAAATTCTTTGCACTTAGCTATCAATGCCGCCTAGGCCAGTGCTCTCTTGTTATTGACACTAGATTTTTATTGATTATGCCACAAACAAGGAAGCTACGGTAGTATTCAATTAATTCACGAAAGAAAGCGTGCGACCAGTGTCGGATATCTTGAGATATCATTTTGATGCGAGCGAACAATGTCACAGATCACAACATCAATACAGACTGAGACAAAGTAAAAGCTTGACCAATTAGTCGGTTGCTCACACTCAAACTTATCGTGTCTTGCATGAACCCAATTAAAGGTCTCGCCCGTCCGTCTTTTCCAGGTTTGTCAAACTTCAAACTCCACCCACCCGTCATGCAAGACGTCAAACCTTGAGCGTCCACACACTCCGTCTTGTCGGTCAAACCTGGCATGACATGCAAGACTGACGATAAGTTTGAGCGTGTGGACCGGGCTTAACGCCTCGTCCACACACCCCGTCCGTGCGGTAAGCTATTCCTGATTTTCCAAAGACGAATTTGTTCGATAGTTGCTTTGCTATGATTTCATCTTCCGAATGACATTAAAAGGCAACACTACTAGCTAATGAAGATTTTATCTCGCTCGTGAATTCAGAAGTCACGGGGTGAAAACAAAATAAACTGGCAGTAGTTATTCGTGTTTACACAGGTGGGCTCCAGAGGTAGGCATCATAATGAAAAGGCGGCGTCAATATTTGACTGTTTGAAAAGCGGCGTCAATATTTGACTAAAATAGCTAGTAGTAATTATGACTAATTACATGAACGGATAAATACGTTATGATAGATTTTATTCATTAACATGCTAGAGCTAAGCTAACATTGAGAAAAATTGTTTTGTATGATGATGAACCAAGGCATGCTGCAGATGTTCCCGAAACTTTGAGACGTAAAAAGAAGCAGCGCATATTCCTAGAAACAGCCAGTTTCGAATGATGAAGTCCAGAGCGTTCCTCAATCTTCTTGAACTGCAACTCTGGCCAAAATCACAAACTTCTGTATTAGCAACTTAAACTGCTAGCAACTTTTTCATGCAACAGAAAATTGTCTCCGGGAAGACAGAGATTTCATTTACCTATAAGTTAGATAGAAAAATAATCAATCATATTCTGAATAATGGTCACATTTAAAGTGTTACGTGACGGTAACCATCAGTGCAAGTCATTTTGCGCTCACTAACAACGCATCATTTTTGGTAGGATTGAATGATAATATCGCTCCGGTTACTCATGTCAGGCGGTAGAGGATTAATAGCTCCTTGTGAAAGACTGTGTAAAGCATAAATGCGTAGAGTTGAATAATAATGTTTGGCGAAAAACATCTCATTAAGTAAGCACAAAGGATATACGAATAGAAAAGAAACATGGCCTTTTATGCTATGAAAGTGAAAGTGTTCGACAACCTTTTGGCCTTACTGGCACGTAGTCGATAAACGGCAACCACAAACTTGGCCTCAAGATTGAACCCCTTAAAATTGAATGGATTTTGCGGAAGATTTCGACTCCTTTTATTTGAATAATTAATATTAAAAAATGATAATATTCTCATGCTCGAAGCCGGAAACATAAACCTGCAACCTTAATCTCTGACTCAATGGCACAATTATTCGGCCACTTTCCGATATTCAGTTTATCATGATTTCATTTATACAGCGCAATTTTATTGTATTTTTGCAGCGGCCGGTACATTAAATAAAATTACTCTATATAAATGAAATCATGATAAAACCGAATATCGTTGACCGTAATTTAAGCGACTACTCCGTTAGTGACCTAAGTAATGACTGCAGGCCGAAAGTACCAGGTCACCTTAAGTACACTGGCCTGCATTCCGCCCAGCTAGACCTATGCAAGACGATATTACGGGGAAATTTTTTTTGTCATTAAGCGCGCGCGCAATGTGAAGTAAGCATCTCGCAACGCAATAAGCTCGTCGCGAAGCCAATTGTTTCTGAACAATTTATACTCACTCTTTCAGGTTGCAACACCACGCGCCTTTCAATTACTTTAAACACTTCTTCGAACCTACATGTGTCGTTGTTTTCCTTTTGAGTGCACATAATCTAAACTTTCTTGTCTATTAGCTCTACAAATCTACCTCCTAATATGTGTGAAAAATTCATACTCACTCTTTTAAGAACGCTTCAAATGTTGTACTTGATAAGAAAACTTTAACAATTTTATTGATTTGGGTTGGAAATTCCATCAACGTTTTTCAAATTATGCAATTTTGTTACTGTAAGACAACAATTAATAATCATCTTGTGCTGTTGTGCATGACTGCATTGGTGGAGAGTGTTGGCGCTATCCAAATGTTGTTGGACGCATGGCCTTCAAAGAGACAGCGAGCAGCCGAGCACCACTGCACCATCTCCGAGTCTACGAGATCGAGAACTTAGTTGACGGTCTGAGGTGGGCGTGGCAGGTCAGAGAGAGGAAGTTGTGAACTGAAACTCAGGGAGGCAAGTCTCTCTCCAAATTATCGTAACGAGGTACATGCACTCCATTTCAAAAGTTGATTATTTGACTGACTCTTTGACATTGCTCAAATAATTACCGTCAATCACAATGTATTGAAGAAGAAGTAAGTTTCTATTTGATTAGTTATGTTTCATTTCTCCACGGCTCGATACCAAGCACTGTATCAGGTCATCGCGTCCATGATCCTGGTTAAAAGTTTACCTGGGATTATCCCCTTTTTTCCCGAGGCTGGGCCAGAAAACTTCCGGACAGTAAATATTTGTGATTACTATTAATCTTATTGTTATTTTTCGGAAATATCATTTCTGTTCAAATTTTTAAAAAGTGAATGCTGGTCTAAAAGCGTCAGCGGACGGGAGCAGCTTTACAGGCACGCAATCAATCAACAGGAGATGAGAAACGCCACGCGTAACTAATGTTTACAAAACTTGTCTCAGATTACTTTCCTGACATTCTTTTGAGACAGGATTAGCAAAGTTATATCACGACTTCCAACTGCTTTATGCTTGTGTCAGCAGCTTCGGCTCAGCCGCTGACGAGATGGTTGCAGCCTGGCGAGCGCTGAAGCTCGCATGGGATGGCTGTGGGTGGATAGCTTTCAACTTTTACCAGTCTGCTCTCGCCCTGTCCCCCTCTGCGTCCGACTACTCGAAGAACGTCTTCAACCTGTCATACTTCGTCCTCCGGCAGAAGCTGTGGTTATACATGTAAATTCCATTGTCTATGGCCATTCTTTTGACTATTTCTGTGTTGTTTTGGCTCTTACTGTTCAGCTTGCAAACAATAAATAGAAATCGCATTATGATTAAGTGAACCTGAAAGAGAATCACGCCAAATTTAGTGGCCGATATTTACAATACTTTTACACCTAAAATCAATTGCTCGAAACTAATTATCGAGTCAAAACAGGGCATTAATGGAGTATCGCCGTAAGACCAAAGTTGGTGGATCCGCCCCTAACCCTGTGGTGGTGAGAGAGGATGATGAGACGACGTGCCGAATGTTGGACGCCGCCTCAAAAGGTCGTCCTCTTGTCCTCAACTTTGGGTCTTGTTCCTGACCTCCATTCATGGAGGACCTCGTCAAGTTCAGGAAGGTATTTCACCCTAATTTTACCTGACCGACATACATTTAATTTATATACTGAAGTCAAGCTGATGCGTGAGTTATTTAATTAGTAAACCGTGTAAAATTACCGCAGATATTCTTGCGTCGACTTAAGATCCCATGGTGCGTTTATTTTTATCCGTTTCATTGAAAAATAATGAGTGGGTGGCTTGCAGCGGAGCGGTTACTTCTAGGGCTCCAAATCAATTCGCTCTATTACAGGATACCCGAAATTAACGCTAGTTTATTCGAAGTAAAACGGGCAGTGAAATATATGCGATAAGATAATGGCTGAATGAATTAATAGCGTTTAAATTGTACTGCTCTGATGTTTGCAATTCGGTGCTGGGCAGTGTGACGTGCTGGGGGACGAAACAGGAACTTCTTGTTAGAGATCCTGTGTTACATCGGCGCAGATTTTAACTATGTTCAGGTTTCGCAAAGAAGGATTTGAAGGCGCTCTTGATCAATCCGAAATCACGAAGACCAATTTGCAGGGAAGAGAAAATTATATTGAGGCATTTTACGCAGTCCCGACAAGAATTTCCGATCCAAACCCTGAAAATGTCGAAGAAGCACTCTTTGCGATGTAGGCTGGCATTTGGTTTAGCATTGCTTTGTCAAACTCAACAAGCGTGGCAGAACTGATAGCAATGTAAGCGCACTGTGTCATTTATATACGGCTTCATCGAGGGAAGCTAAAAATTGGCATGCAAAATAATGTTGGTTTGAAATTTTGTGTACTGCACCGCTTACAGTGTATAATGCGTGCGGCTTTGGTAACTGAAACCATTAGACAATATAGAGATATGCAATGATATGATGAATGATGTAGAATGATAATATAAGATGGCATGCCATCAATTAAATTTGAGGTGTCGCTCCTCTTAATTCTCTGCCTATCATTAAAACAGATACAATACACGTATAACATTATTTTAGTGGCCATTCGGTGGTCAAAATTTATCCGGGCTCCTATAATCTTACGCTATATTACTTGTTTAATTTGAAGAGATGTAGTCTTCCTACCAATTTCGTGAAAAATGTTAAAGGGAGGTAAATGGGAAAATGGGGTTTTATGATTATGTGGTTATGACCGCATTATGATCGAGACTGCATAAGGAGAATCAATTTTGCCAAGAGTGTTCAAAGGCGATTCATTTCACTGAGTATTAATAACGAAATAAATTCCAGGACAAATTAGACGTATCTTTAATAAAAAAATGTTGATACGCAGGTGGTGACCATGTACGGTGACGTTGCTGACTTCCTGATCGTGTATATACAAGAGGCGCACCCCACAGATGGGTGGTTCATCCCAAATACTGTAGAAATCCCTACTCACAAGTGGGTCCTAATTCATCACGTGATCTGATTATTTCATTTAAATTGACCGCACTCGTCCCTTCATCGCCTGTGATTTTTATCATATGTAGGTGCCGGAATAAACTACAATAGTTGTAGTATCATTGTGTATACTAATAATTGGCTCGAAAACCGCTACTACTACCGAGTATATGCTAGATATACTAGTATATACTACCGATTATATACTAGATTTTGGTCAACAATCGAATCTTCTGTCTAGGAGTGTACAAGATCGTCTGGCAGCGGTGCGCTACATGATGGAGCTCGAGCCCGTCAACTGTCCCGTGGTGGTGGACAGCGAGAGCGGCGCAGCTTGTGAGGAATACACCGCTCTGCCGGAGAGGCTTTTCGTAGTGCTTGACGGCAAAATCGTTTACCACGGTGCACAAGGACCATATGGCTATAAGGTTAGTGGTTAGGTATCTAGTAATGAGGCGAGTGATAGTTTTCTGGTCAGCCAGGGCTGTACGTTTACCATCAAATTTCCAAAATTCATGTGTTGTGTGTTTTTCGCTTTAATCATAAATCTGCCCGACACACGTTTTTTGGGGCGAGCCATAATTTATTTTCTACTTTTTAGTCCACAAGAAAAACGTGTTTTTAAAAAAGTTTTTTTAGGTAATTTATTTTCTACTTTTTAGTCCACAAGAAAAACGTGGTTTTTAAAAAAGTATTTTTAAGTATTTTATTTATTAACCATTTAATACTTCGGGCTTTATTCGGTCCACAGATGGCTGAACTGGAAACGTGGTTGTCTAATTGGAAGACATCAATCTAGATCACCTGCAGTCCACCACGACCTAGCTTAAGGCCCGTTTCCACTACGGGACTGATTCTGAAGGATTGAGATTGGCCTGAGACCAATAAGCCACATGGCTGGACTTGAAAACTGGCGTGCGCGTTTCCACTACACGAGTGCTGGGACTGGGATTGAGACTGACCGTCTGGGCTACCTTACTCGTTGGCCTTTGAAAATAGATTATGCTGCCCTTCTTGCTTTACTAGCTGTTGTCACAATGCGCAGGAGGAAACAAAAATCTATTTACCTAATAGCAGTAATGAAACGCAAGCATGGTTTCAAACTTCTCATTAACATAGTTTATCCGTGTAATAACATGCATTCACCAAGGGATTAAGAAACAGCATTATCTTATTATACCTTTAATGTGTCGAAAAAATTATATGTAATAAATACACCACAATGTTTAACCATGTCTGGTTTTTGGTCTATAGATTTAGATAGGTATCATAGCGTGCTTCACAAATGCTACTACTATTATTGGTTAATGTGTTTGGTTAATGTGTAATTTACTGAGTATACATACACTGTAAGTACAATAAGATAATTAAGATTTTTTAATTGACGGACGAGTGAATCTATGTCAATAAACAGATAAAATCGGTCAATGAGAAGTTAGGAAGTATTATTTCCATTTTTCGATGTTCGTGGATGGATATAATTTTTCCATTTCTTTACTTATTTTCTTTTATTCTCAAGATTCTGTCTTTGCAAAAAAAAACTTTTTACTTGCCAGAAGCAAGGTGCCTCTCTATACAAATCGATAAGCCTTTCAGTGACACCTCTGCTCCAGTCTCCGTCGTGCGACATGGCAAAGAGGCAGGCAATGGTGCGTCTATTGGAGCGCCAGCCCAGCACACAACCTCCTTAAACGAAAGTCACAGCGACACTGCCCCTTGCCCGTCGGGCCGTCACGCAAGTCCAGTAATAGATTGAACAGCGCTTGACTCCTCGTCACTCAAGTCTTGATGGTCCGGACTGAAAAAGCCAGTTTTTCAATCGTCAGTCTCGCAGAATCTCATAGTGGAAACGGGCCTTTATGTGGTGATCAATAAACGTCTAACAGCATCAATACATACTACTAGTTTACTATATAACAAAATTTTCATCATTGTCATGATCAAATATTTTTCTTATTTATTGTAATGGTCTCTTCATATTTCGTTTGAGCTTTTTAGTCAAACTGATGCGAAGTTTGCTGACAAGCAAAGCAGTGATGAGAGACGTTGCCATAATATAACTCTCATGAAGACTTGGATCGCAAATTGCTTATGCGACGTTCCAAGACTGACATTTAATCGCACCGTACATATATTTGGTAACGTCACTACATAAACTTCTTTGACGAATTTTGCTTAACTGCCCGTTTTGTTGTTCATTTAGTAAGAGCCATATTCAAGTTATTGCATTACTTCAGTAATAGAATGTCGTGGATCAAAATGTTTCTGATTTCCCCCTTCCAATGGATTTTTACTAGCATTAGAAGTTACTTCTGAGCTTGACTATCTGATGCAGCGACTTAGTTATATACTCCGGCACATCTATATATTGAGATTCAAATAGAAACTTCATACATTATTTTACCCTACTATACAACATGATGAATAATTGAAAAATTTTAAGCAAATTACCAAATTATCATTAAAAACGACCGAAGGCACCAAAAGACAAACAAAAGGAAATTAATTATATGAAAATAAATTAGAATTTTAATGATAATAAATCTAAAAAATGGCAATAGAAATAGAAAAAACGAATTCAGCAATACAGACTAGCAAAACTCCGGAGGGAGAAAGCCAGTCGTGTAAGTATTGTGAATAATCAAGCAATACATTATTTTCCTGGATATTTGAAAATTTTTGATTAACTTATAGAACTGACCTACAATATTCATCTTAGTCTTGCAGTAACTACATCTTTCTACCGTAGAAATAGGTTAGCAATAAATCGATTTTTATCTTCCAGGTATGGAATACTTTACCGTCAACAAGCCCCGCCGCCTCGGGCAACGTTGCCACATGATATATTTATATACCAGATTTAACAAATGTGCTATTTTCAGAAGGTGTCTGGTATGAATATTTTAGATCTGGTACATTTGCCTAAATCTAGTATTTCCTGACTTACTGCAAATGTACTGCATTAAGCTCAACCGCTGAAGTTTGAACGTTCCCCAACGTAGGCGTGGATTTTATAGATTACCTTCAGAGCGGCGCGACTAGAGGTTTCCCGCCATTTTTGGAACCGCGAGATTACCGCTTAATGAAATAACCCCAATCTAATTGTAAACTTTTAACAAAAGTGCTTAGTGCAATATAAGCACGAGAGTGATGATCCTTGATTGATTACTGATCAGCGATGAAATGGCCTATGACGAGTGAGGTTGTCGAACCGATCTGTGCGACGCAAGCTCCACCATTTTTGTTTGATGGTTTTGAATTCTAGAGTGCCACTTGAATTCTGGGGTGCATTCAATATTTCACTGATCTTGAAAGTCGTCATCCATTCATGGAACTGGCTGCCTACTGCATCACTTGTCAACTTTGACCTGTCTTCAATGCATTCGAGAGCGAGCGTTTTCACAAGTCACTTATGTGAAAAACAAGCAACGAAGTAAAATTTCAACTAAGGCACTGGAGTCCCTTATTCGGACCAAAAGCTATCTGCTCAGCCGCCACAAGTGATCACACCCGAAATGTTAGATAAATGCAATATGCAAGCATGCACGAAAATAAGCAAAAGGAAGATGACCTGTTTCCGTGGCTTACTCATCTCGGGTGAAGAAGAAGA